AGCCTTCTCCTGCTCTCAGTCGAACTCACCCAACCAGTATTCTGTTGGGTAGTCTCTTTAATTCAATCAATGTCTCTTCACAAAATGGGACACAATGGATGTTAAGGGATGACGTCCCTGGGTTAAACTTGACTGAGGTCAGTTGTAAGCAATCTTTTAAGCTCACCATAAATTAGTGGCAACATGTACGCTCAGTTAGCCACCAGCTTCCTAAAGCTCCAAATTCATATATATATATATATATATATATATATATATATATAAATATATATATATATATATATATATATATATATATGTATATATGCATATGCAAAAAAAACGTATACATATGCACTAATATGAATACCATACACAAACATACATGTTTGCTAAGTCTGCTATCATACTAATATAAATATATAATTAATTCAAAGTTTAGCTTTTTTTATTTGTTTTGAAAAACTAGTTCAATTCATAAACATTTTCAGATGAAACAAATTTAACGCCATTTGTTATGTTAACGATTGTTTACAAAAAAGAAAGAAAATCAAGGAAGGAAAAAAGAAAGAAAGAAAGAAAGAAAGAAAGAAAGAAAGAAAGAAAGAAAGAAAGTGCTATAGAAAGAAAAATGAGAGATAGGACAAACTAACAAAAATTCTTTGGTGTTACTTTATCGCAGAAGTCGGCTGTTAGATGTGAACATTTTTCTAAAACGTCATCAAATTTTCAAATAAAGTTCAACTGTCGCTGTCGTCTGCTGATAAGTAGTTCATCTGAGGACGAATACCATTTTTCTCCCTCAATCTCTTTTTAACACGGTTCTCACAGTCTGATAATCTATTCTGTTATTCGTAATTTATCACGTAGATGTCTTTAATTACCACACCTAAGAAGATGGCTGGTGATTCAGTCTCATCTATCTCTTCATCCCCTTGGAATATTGGCGCAACACAGTCTTCTCAAACAAATTGTCGTGTTGCAATACTGGAAGCATCGTAAATGGAATAATTTCCTCACAGAAGGTTTCTCGAAATATACCCATGTATTATATTTTCACTGAGCAATACTAAAACAATTAGCTATGCAATTTAAACCCGGATTCATAGCTGCCGACCAAATCAAGCCAATTATTTAAACCTGTGATTCTCAAAGTGGTTCCGTCCTCCAGGGAGCGGTGGAAAGACGTGGGGCAGTGAGGTAAAGGGATTAGAAAAGGAGATGGTAGGGAGCAACAGGATGACATTAGAATCAATTCATTTACACTTTAAGGAACGCGTATGATTTACAAAAAAATACAATTAAATTAACATAAGAAAGGCTATTCCCGGATGCATGGTTTTATTTTATTTTGTTAGTTCCAAAATTTGCTGATGCTATCTAAACAGAACGCGCCACATACCGGCCAAATCCAAAAGCCAGTCGTCTACAGTGGCTGGTGCATTAGTTTTGTAGGTGGAACAATAGAGCTACGGATGGTCTTATAATGACATCCTATCTAATAGCATTTAAGAAAAGCCAAAATGCATATGTGCGTTTAGACGCAGTGTTAGATTAGTTGTTGCTTTGAATTTGCAGTAGACCTAATAGCAAGAAAGAAGTGTCTGCATAAGGTTGTGGGAAGTGGGCTCTAGGGATGTGGTCTGTGAACCAAGGGAACTGTAACGAAAAAAAGGTTGAGAACCACTGTTCTAAATTGTGGATGCACTTTTTATTTACACAAACGCAGAAGCATACACGCGCCCGCGCGAACTTTATATATATACATATATACAAAGTACACATCTTGGATTATATATACATAAATCTCCCAATCGATTTTTAGTACAGTTTTTTTTATATCTAAATCGCCTAACTACACATGGAATTTGATATACTAGTGAAGGAACTTATAAAAGAAAAATGGTGCAATGTGACACATTGTCCCGAAACAGAGGTCCTAAGGATTGAATTCAGAATAATCATTCTCCTATACTGGTTGACAACTGAGGTAAGAGAGCCCAGTCTGTGTTGCTATTTAACCAATAGATGGGGTAAAAAGAGATGGATCCATACGTTTCCAAAAGCTATTTTTGAGAAAGTGAATGTATTAAGAACGACTGAAATTCGAACTCAACTGGCAAGAATTTCAGAAAATCGAAATAAAAGCCGTAGTTTCGTTCTCCAAACATATATTAATAATTGATGATGAGAAATGGAATCTATGGCAGTTAATGAACAACAACCGTCAGAATAGATCTCGGACAATTTCTAATCATCAATATTAAAGTGCAAAAGGCCAGCGACGTTCAAAAGTTTGGTTGTGTTTGGTGATGCTCGGGGTCATCCTTAAGACTCTAGTAAGGGGAGAGGGGGTCTATAGGGTCTAGTAATGAGAAATGTGAGAAAGGAAGACATTTTATACATGTAAAAACAGATAAAACATGAAATAAACACTAAATATAAACTAAATTTTTATTTCACTCTTTGATTGGACGCCCTCTCGATATGGATATCCGGGGGCCGTCGGCACACTCTGTCCCCTTCTGAACGCTACTGCAAAAGGCAAAATAATTGTAAGCAAATATACCAACTGTTTTTGTGTCGTAAAATTATGATCATCCAAAACCACATGGGTGTCTTTTGATGATGCAAACCAAACTCTGTTTCTTAATGCCACGAAATTAACATTAAAAAACAACAGAGAAAAAAGATTTGTTGAATGGAATCAATTAATGTAACAAAAGGTATAAAAAAAAGTGTTGCTCAATTGACATCCAATACATTTTTCCTTAAAAGGTTTCAATAAATGCCAACATTCTACATACACATCATCTGTGTTTTGGTAGCATGCAAGTTTTTCGGGGGTTTTTATTTTTTTATTTTTTATTTTTTTATTTTTTTTGTTGTTGTTTTAAATCCTTGTTGTATGCATAAATGGCTGCTAAAAGTTCATCGGAGGCAGTTTTAGTGCATTTTATTACGTCGCCTTGTGTTTATATCATCAAATATTTTTATTTTTTTTAATCGAATTCACCCCAAGTAAAGCAGTAAAGCTACTAAGACACAAGAGGTTACTGGGTGTGAGAGAATTAGAAAACAGAAGCATTATTGAGGAGCGATAACAATAGAAGTGTAATCAAGAAGACATTAGATAAAAATTGAGATTGCATTTAAATGTTTGAAGATCAAACTTGTTTGGAAAGCAAGAAGCCGGAAGTGAAGTCTAGGTAATATAGCGAATAGTTCATCTGAACAATTACCATGAAAGTATTTATAGAAAAGACACAGGGAGACAACTTTATGGCTGTGGGAAAGTGACTGAAGTCGAGACGCCAGGTCCGAACCAATAATATTGCTGATTGGCCTTTGGATGTTATCAAGAATCTCTAAATATAAAGTAAGAACACTAGACCATATGTGGCAGCAATATTAGAGGCATGGACAAATAGTAGACTTATAAATATGTAAGATAGATTCAGGAAAGAAAAATGATTTATATTTTTATTTTATTTTATTTATAGATTTTGCTATTTTAAAGTTCTTCACAAAAACAATTTTTAGTTGTTTTCTTTATCATCACAAACACAGAAAATGATATATTTTTAATTATAGACATTTTTAATCGAGTTGTCTGCGAAAGATAAACACTTTTTATATCGAGTGATTCACACACACAAAAGAAATAGAGGAAGAGATAAATGTTCACACACATAATCACATGTATTCACATGTATTCACACCCCTGCACAACGGTTATAGGCACTGAAAATGTAATCGACGAATCACCAGAGATTTGTTATTAATATAAATATTAAATAAATCACACTTTACATCTCTTTTTTTTTTTCAATTTTCGAAATAAAATGTATAAAAAGAAAATAAATTTGGAAAGGTAACATATCTTGTGATCATAAAAATAGGAAAAATACATGCGACGAAGCAGTTATGCATACTGTCTTATTTCATACCTTCTGCATCGGCTACAGCAGATTTGACCTTAACCGTCGAAGCAGCTAGAAAAGAAGGTTATTTTTTATGACTTAGAATATTTTATTTATGTTTTATTATTATTGTTTCTCTGCTTAACGCCATTTCAGATAACGAGTGAAACTAGCACTAACGAATATCTTTCATAAAAGAAAAGTTCGCGTATAGCGAACTTTTGTAAAGTGAGGCGAAGAATACTTACCTATATGATTTTTTCCTTAATAAAATAATATTGTTATAAGTACTACTACTGCTAATAATAATAATAATAATAATAATAATAATAATAAGGGATCCTGTTCATTATCATAGATTTACTCATCAGTTACCTGACGACCATAACCAGTTGGGCATGTCAGGGTTGTTGCACTAATGTGTATCTCTGTTCATGAGAAGGAATAGTGGGGGGGGGTCATGATCAGGTGTCAATATTGTTGTTTCCTTCAAGTTTGAAGAATGAGTTAGACAAGGCAACTTGTGTGCCATATCTGGATACTTGGGGACACGGAGTTTGTCTGAGCAGACTGAGTTACTCGAACAGAAAGTAATTCTCTAACTGGTCTCGACTTGTAATATATGTTATGAACTGCTTTTATTAAAAACTGTTACTATATCGTTCAAATTTAGCTGTGCTGCATGTTATCTGTTATACACATAACAGAATGGATGTCATGAAGCGAATATTGTCTTTCGTTTATTTGTATCCAAGCGTTACTTTGTTGGCGTACTGCTTTCTTACACAAAACAAGAACGACAACAGCAATAATAATAATGTACGAGGAAGTACTGGAAGGCAAAGCTGTTAAGAACATAATTATTAAATGTTATGACCAACGGACATGCGACTCTTTCCCCATTGCCAATAGTGAAACTAAAGCCACAATGTTCAGATTTTATAATTGGTGCTCCCTACAGTATCTTCAAATTCCCTCTTATGCAATAACATATGCATCATTGTAAATTCAACCTCAGAACAGATATAAAATCCTCAGTCATTATAATCATTATAAGAAATTAGAATATAAGATATGATTTAATGAAAAGTTTCTTACCTTCATACTTGTAAAGTCCACGGGTAACTTTGGAGCAGGGCGTTGAGTGTTCAGGGGTGTCTTTTTTCTTGTTGACGTCGTAAAAATCTGAAGTGGCTTTCAGATCTCTACGGCCAATGTGCGTATTCACTTCGTCCATATCAAGAACCACCGACGCCATTTTATGTTCAAGATTGTTATTTATTTTCTTAAGTCGAAACAATTTCTGCTCGATCGAATGGACAGCCTTAATCAAAGATGAGACATTACTCTCCAGCTTCCCAAAACTCGTGTCTATGTTATTCAACTGTGAATGGTGACCTTTGACACTGTTGGCATACCGTTCGGCTCTTAGTCGTTCCGTTCGTTGAATCTGCTGCAGATGCTCCAAACGATATACTAAGGAAGCCACCCGTCTCTGACAAATGCGAGATTCTCCTGAAAAATGCAGTGAAGGGGATACAGGTAAGTCCCGAGGGAAGAAATTATCGCCACTATCTGTTAAATCATCCTGGTTATCATGTAAAGTGTTGTCATCGACTACCTTTCGTTGATAAGGTTTGTAGTGTCGTCCGTGTCTTTGGGAAACGTGTGGAGTCTCTGCGCCATATTGGTTGCTTGAAACAACAATCGGGCATTGAGAAATATTTCGCTGGTTAATGACAAGCGTGTAGGCGCAAGTGGACGAATGAATTGTTGTCTGCGCAGCAAAAAGACCATTGTTTACATACTGCAGACAAAAAATAAATAAAACTGTTTTTATCTGTAGACAAGAGATGATAAAAAATATTTGTTGCATGGTTGTGCTTTGCATATATATATGAAGAGAGAAAAAAAGAATGAGTAAATGTTTCTTTTTTATGTAAAAGAGTTTACAAAAGAAACAAAAGGAATAAAGAAAATGATATTCCTTCGGTTTTGGCTACAAAAAAATTGTAAAATGTCTGCGAATTCTCAAATTTGATAAGAAGAAATGAGGCACAACGGTTTTCTATTCTTGAAGTTTCAGAAACAACAGATCACTTGATGAAATTTAAAACAAAATTCCCAAAATAAATCAGAATCGACGCTAAATCCTTGGAACCAAACGAATCCTTTAACGTGTTGCACTTTTTGAAAGAAATATTCCGATAATTTTAGTTTGAAACTTTGTAGTTTGTAAAAATTCTCGATTTTATTTGAAATTCTTTTTTTATTGACTGATACAATTTTGCCAATAAGAAGTATGGCTCTTCATTAGAGTTGTTTTGTCCAATGTTATATCACAAATTATTATCGATTAATAAAAATACGGTGTCTTTAAATAAGTTGAAAATTAGTACTGCAGACCGTAGCGACTGGCTACGTCAAGTGATATGCTCGATTCTTTTCAAATTCCCCTGAGTTTTATTAAAGAAAAACTTTATATCCTGTTTTGATAAATCGCAGCTATATTTCTTTTTCTTTTTATTGTTGAAGTGATACCAGTGTCTTTAAATAAGTTTTTGCTCAAAGCAAAAAATAAATAAATAAAAAATAAAGATAAAAATAAAAATAAAAACAACCGTGTATTCTGGTGAAGGTGTAGACTATCCAGACCGTTGACAGTGGCTCGTTGTGGTCAAGGAATATCGTTTGGGATCAGTTGTCGACAGACGTATTTTAAAAAAAAACACCTGGTTCTTTTATTGTCTGTGAGAGATAGTCGTTTTATTCGGCATGTTTTTGTAATAGATGAAAGCCGGTGAAGTTGTCAGGTTTACTAAGTCAGTTACGCCTCCGAATAATAGACAATTGCGAACAAGAGCAACTTTTCTAGTTTAATTTTTTTTTTTAATTTCCGTCGCAGACGTTTATGTGACTTCGTTTAGGTCAAATAAAAAGGTATGTAAATGATCAAACGGTGGTTAGGTGCAAATGTTTATTCATGATGGCTTCTTTTAGTGCGTGTTTGTGTATATATATAATATAATATATATGTGTGTGCATATGTGTATGTGTGCGAGCAGTCATATGTATATATTGCAGCAACTTTGTATTCCAAAAGACTACAGGATGTATGATATGTAAATTAATGTGTGTTGTAATTTATGGGAAAATTGTTGCATGTATAATAGCGTGTCTTTGTTTCTGATTGTAAGTGTATGCTTTGAGGTTATCAGGTTTGTGTACGTTACATACCAATGTGTAAAGCCGGCATTTTTTTTAAAAATCCGCCAACTCTCGCCCGTTTTAATCCCGAGACTGCACGAGAATAAACGTTGACTTGCCGGCTTTTAACCTGGCGATGTACGGCCCGCGTTTGACTCAGTGAAATTATCATCAAGATTTTCACCAACCTTTCATATCCTGCAAATCTTAATTTGCAATAGAAAACAGATGTAAACAATAAATAAATACGGAGAAAAAAAGTCAACGTGTATTGCTGCATCAGGGCTTCTGGCTCAACAGACCATTAGGCCATATTTGTGATAAGCAGACGACTCGCCGGTGGCCATCGACCAATAATTTATACCGCCCTGCATAGCTACCACCTCCTTGTTGTAGTGACATTTTTTACTTATTCAAAGAAGGCGGGGCCGCAAATAAAAAATAAATAAATAAAAAGAACAAAAGCTGAATAGTCGACAAGGTGGTTTTGCGTGATTCCGAGAAAAATAAGGTGTTTTTTATATATATATATATATATATATATATATATATATATATATATATATATATTAACTGCAAGAATTTGAGTAGTCGGCCAATATGAAAAAGATCATTTTCCACGGGAGAAGTTAAAATTGTGTCCCCCACATCACAACGACTGAAACAACAAGAATTTAAGCGCAGTGGTTGTTTTTATAGAGAAAGCAACGGGATATTTAAAATCAGCTGGTCGGAAAAAGAAAACGGTATATATATATATATATATATATATAGATAGATAGATAGAGAGAGAGAGAGAGAAAGAGAGAGAGGGAGAGAGAGGTATGCACACATGCGGGCTTATTCACACATACATATTATGATTGAATAAGAATCATTTTATGTTAAATATATGTTACACATTTTTGTTAGCGAGGAAATGTATCCAGGGTTTTCGGTCCATGGATACTTTCTTCCGCAATTACCTATTTTTCAATTACGTAATCATTTCAAATATGCATACAGATGCCTTGAATTAATATCTTTCACAAGGGCGCTGAAAAGTTCTCAGTCCGACCAAAGAAGATTTTTTTTTTTTAATACTGATTCTTGAATGTTTGGGCAGAGTTTATGAAGTGAACGCTCCTTTCAAATAACTGCAAGTAAATATTAGTTATGTGCAAAAATTCCTAGCAGTATTTTAAACTATAAGTAGAATTTACAAAGAGGCTTTGCGCTGGAAACTTTTACACACACTTCATACAGATTTGTCTACATTGATATGTTCATTTATAAGGGTTATTACTACATTCATTTATATATGAATGCATCCAAATAAATACCGACGCACACGCATACTCACACACACAAACATACGAACACGCATATCTATCTATCTATCTATCTATCTATCTATATATATATATATATATATATATATATATATGTGTGTGTGTGTGTGTGTGTGTGTGTGTGTGTGTATTAGTATGAGGTAATATAGATATGGAAAGAGAAAGAGAGAGGGTGTTATCTGTATATATTTCTGCTTATGCATGCATCCAGATTTGTATTAAATACGTACAAATATATATACTTATATTCCTGGTTGAAAATGTTAATATGATTGCTTGCAGGTGTCTTTGTATATTTGGTAATGTGTATAACAGTGTAGATATTCGTCTAAGAAATAATCACATGTGTGTGATGTATGTGTCTGTGTGTGAGAGAGGAGGCGTGTGGCGGGGCGTGTGGCGAGGCGTGTGTGTGTAGGCGTGTGTATACGAATGTTTTTAAAACAGTGGAGGTAGGGTCACATGTGAATATCCACGTGCATCTTTGAATTCACCTAAATATGTTCAGAAGCTGACATACAATCACACACACACATATATACATATATAGGTATGAAGGTAGGTAGCGAGAAAGGAGGGTGTATTTTGTCTGTGGGATTCAAAAAGCAATAAAAATGCAATAATTTTAAATAAGTTCAGTCAATCTGCATTCGTTGAAAAATGCATAATATGCAGTTGTATCATTTTAAGCAAATGTTTAATAATAATAATAATAACAACAACAACAACAACAATGATGATGATAAAAACAATATTAATAGTAATACCGATTATGCTATGTTAAAGAAGACGAAGTACCAATGAAAAAGACGATACTATAACATTTAAACAATAATAAAATTAATAATAATAGTGCGAAGAAAAGTAAATATAGATGTAAACAATATATAATAGTCTTATAAATACAATGTCACACGCACACACACACACACATATATATATATATATATATATATATATATATATATATAGAGAGAGAGAGAGAGAGAGAGAGAGAGAAAGATGAACAGATTGAGATAGAATAATAAAATGAATTTAATATAACTGTCAGTCGCATTTAGTTTTATTATTATAGTAACTTTTTCTTGACATAGAACAATTTTTGTATTTTTAAACAGTATTTTTCATTTTTGTATTTTTTAAACTGACATGACAACAAGGTTTATTATTATTATTATTATTAATAATAATAATAACAACAATAATAATAACATACGAACACAAGGCATCGATCACAGAAGCGGTTCACACTTCTTTATATATATATATATATATGTGAAGTGTGTGTCTGTGTGTGTGTGTGTGTGTGTAATTATTTATTTAAAAATATGATTCCAACGCTACATAAGAGTTCTCATGTTTCAAAACAAGAGCCGAAAACTTCAATATAATTATTTGAATTAAAGTACCAAGCTCTGTTCAATCTTCAAGCGAAATTTGTTTTGGAATAACTAATTTGAAACATTATGTAGCGTTGGAATCATATTTTTAAATAAATAAATATATTTATGCTCTACTTTTGTATCGAGCACTATTTTTTAAAAATAAGAACAAAAATAC